GTGACCTCACTTCTGTCTCATACCCGTGAATTTGACTGGCTGGCAGAGACATACAACTGCAAAGCAGTAATTCTAGGTTTTTTTGTTGTTATTGTTTTTTTGAGGATTAGCTGAATTGCTGACTGAGAAACAAATAGGAAAATCTGAAATGTATTTTTGAATGAGCAGTGTGCACAAATAAATAATTTTAAAATCCATGCATAAACCACCAGGGCTCTTTGAGATGAAAAGAAGAGGACAAGAAAGAGTTTAAGAAGTGAATGACAGAGAAAAAGCAATTGCTGTGATTTGAAATGAATATGCAGCTGTTTTCCGGCTTATACTAGTTGACAACCAAAATGCTTCCAAAACAAAAGCCACGGAAACGGAAATTGTCGATTGACTTTGGTTTGTAAGCTGTGGAACTGGCAGTGTGTAAATTTAGCTTAAGAATGGCCGAGCATTGTCAAATGACAGAAGGAAAGGTGTCTGAGCCAAACCAGGACTAGTAACCAAACCTATTTGCTTTTTATACATAAAGCCTCTTAGGTGCAGCATTGGTCTTAGGGACTACAAGTTACACATTGTTTAATTAAAGCACTTATGTTCATACCTCAACTCAAGACATCAAGCTCTCTGTTGTGTATATACTGCAGCTCATATTCTCTCGAAGTCAAAAGGTGTCATTGTCTTTACTTGTCAGTCAGTTTTTTGTGTTTGCATAAAAACTACATGGCTAAATACCTAAATGCCATTGCTTTTAAAGGTAACTTTTGGATTCAGCACCTCAAAAATTTGCACATTTCAATTCTGAAGCATAAAACTTTTTATTAGAATTGCTGAGCAGCATTTTCTCTTTTTACTTGTTCTCCTTGTGTCTCTGTAGTTTTTCCTGCTTGAAACAGTTTAACAGATTATTATGCCTGTAACGAACCTCATGCTTATGTGTAAAACTTCACACCTTAAAAAGCAACATCATGCCTTCATCAAAAGAACAGGCTGAGCACATGTGATTATGCGTGACAGGATGTGGAGCAGAATAGAAAGTTACCCAACAAATGGCAGCAATCCCTTAAACCCCCCAGGATAATTACATCCCAGACAGAGGTGAGGAGCAGCAGGAGAATTGTTGTGGTTGCAGGGCGTGTAAATTCACAACAGTCTGCTGGCAGCATTTTCCTTTACATGTCACAGCAGGGGGCATAATAATGTAGGTATACTGTAGGTACAACAGTCAACCTTTGTATTCAGACATGTTTCACACATCTCACGCTACTGGGAATGTTCGGGGCTTTGTTTCATATGCTGGACATTCAAAGATTGGTCAGAATGACTTGGAAAATGTTCACACGTTTTTCATATTTGGAAATGAAATTGCCCCGGTGTCCACCGTCTCAAACTACCACTGGGATTGAATTAGTGTGTTCATAAACTATGAGCAGCATAGTTTATCATTTAAATTGTTTACAAATGTTGATGGCTGTGTGAAAGCTCAGAGGTTTGGTTCAGTCGCAGACCACCAGGCACCAATTAATGACAGATGTCGATGAATGGTTGGTGACGTACAGGACCCCATGACCTCCTTCACGGCTCTCTTAGCTGTTTTAGTGATGTCGTGAGTTCAAAAGGGTACAGAAATAATCCCTGGGGGACTTGTATGACTTGAGATTGGAAGTATATGACTTTTAAGGGTTTTCTGTTTATATTTAGTGCATGTGCCTGCAACCTTTACAGCTTATAATTGCCTGTGTGAGTGGACCTCTTTTTGTATGCGTTATTATTGGAGTAATTGGTGTGGGTGGGGGGTGAGTTACTGTGTGTGGTGGATACGCTGACTGGCGGACAGGGAGAGTCAGAGGACAGGACCTCTCTCAGAGGACTGGCTGGTAACCCCTGACCTCACTGGTTAAGCCTGCAGGGTGGTGGTGGTCGAGGTGAAGGCGGCGGGGGCGGGGGGGCACTCTGAGGTCCGTCTGGTTCAGGGCCACATGATGGCAAGCAGAGGGAGCAGTGAGGTGTCTAATCTGGTTTTTGTCTGTTAGGCATTTTCACCTCCTCCACCACCCCCCACCATCCTTCCTCTGAGAAAAGGGTTTGAGAAGCAGGACAATGTCAAAGGGAAGTGACTTATTTTATGAGCCATTTAAAGGGGGTGGTGGTCCCCCCCACAAAGGAAAAGCAGAGAGGCAGCGGAGAGCTGATGAATAGCATGACACACAGTCACATGTTTGTTTACAAGACTGCTCTCTTGTTTTGAACACCATAAATGGCAGTTTTCTTCTTCTGAGTGACACTTGAACAATGTTCTGCCTCTGTCTTATTACATCTTAAAGTACTTGGGAAACTGGAAGGGTGAGAGGCCCCTAAAAGGAACTCCATAATGCAGGTGGGAGCCAGTTCTTCAGCCACACAGAGACTGTCTGTGCCAGTGATGGTAGAGAAATGACCAGTGCATCCACTGATGTGAAATAATGAGGCTGATACATGTCGCACATAGTCTGGTGTGATGTTGATTTTTATCGGATCCAACTGTTCTGGGTGATGGTTCAAACAGTGCTTTGAGAAATTGACTGCCAAAATGTTTCTACAAGGTATGCATTAGCTAAGGATCTCCAGTTTTCAGAGAGTTAATCCTTTGTGCTAACAATGTGACATTTGTACAGACATTCCTGTGAAATATTGGCCATCTCACTTTTATTTGTGTACTTTGGTAACTTGGACTCTTTTCATGGACATAACCCTTTTTGGTGGTACGCCTGTGCTGCGGGCAAGGACGGGGCCCTGCACAAGGGGAGACTGGATGGCTGTTTCACCTAAAAGTTCAGTGTGTGTGTGTGTGTGTCTGTATGCTGCCCCTTGTACCTCCAATCACATTGGTACAAAGAGCCATGTGTTGAGCAGTTATGTGATGTGTGAATGTGTTTAGGTAGGGGCTGCCAACTGTGCCTGGCTATATGTGAGTATGTGTCTACGAGTGGATCGGTTGGAGTGGGTTTGGGGAGAGGACTGTGAGAGAAGGAGTGACTTGAGGCTTATTTGGACTTGATCCCAGACAGATGGGACCAGTTTATGGCGCCAGGGTGCATCCCTCCCTCTGGTGCCCTGTTTAGATGATTGTATTGCTGTGAGTCACTTCTGACCCTGAAGTTTAATTTTTTTAGCAGTATAGTTGCAATTTCAGACATGTAGGCAGCTTGATGTTCGTTGTTCTGAGGCAAATCAGTTTTGTCTGGTGTGATTAGCTTAATATTTCTACAAGCACACATCAGACTCTTGCGGTTATAGGAAGCTTAGTCTAGAAATGTATACATTTTTTGTCGATATAGTTTTACATGTGTAAAATAACAAATGTTACTATCAAAGTCCTGGTTTTCTAATAGAAGTTGAAGGGCGGTATCTGTTACATGGACCAAAAGAATGAAAACAACCTGAAGATCTTATACAAAATACAGAACAACATGGCTCTGTGCTTGTTATGACAGCACATTACAATGGTGATCAAGCCAACTGCAACAACCTGAACCTAAGCTCCAGCAATCTTCAACCCAGTAAGTAACAGAATAGAAGGTTTTTTTTTTTTAATGCTCAACGTGAACAAAGCTGGAATTAAAGTGAGAAAAGGCCCCATTTGTAGTAAATCCATTCAGCAAAGAAGAAATTCAATGCTACTGATGATGTTTATAGAAGCTGCAAGGCCCCAATAACATCTCTTTAGTTCACAATTTTTAGTTTCATCTAGCTTTAAATAAATTACTGGTGCATTTCATATAAAAGGAAAATGTATAACACATTATACACTACACATACTATATGAAAACTGGGGTCAACATTAGCACTTTAGGCTAATTTAGTTTAATTTGGTGTCTTTCAACACATGCAGGTAATATTAAAGCCCTGGTCCATTTATCACATGTACGCCATGCAAGAAGCAGTAACCTGTATGGGCACCCAGGCCCGTGTCGGTGAGTGTGAGCTGGTGGGGGGAAACTAAACAGGCTGTTGGTTCCTAGATGCAGTGAAAGGATCCCTGTGTTCTCCCAAATTCCAGCAGCCGCATTTAAAACAAAACATTATTGCAGCTGCATTCGTCCTTCCCTGACCCTCCTGTTTAATGGGATATTAAGCTCTTGACAAATTTGTCATTTGCTATTTTATCAGACAGGATTTAGGTTTGAATAATGGTAGAGAACAGAGCTTTTTGAGGATTTTGGCTCAGTTCACATCCATGTTCATACATAAGCAGAAGCAGAACAGTGTGAAATCCTTTTTCTAACTAAACTGACATTATAGAAACAGAAAACACTTCACATGTGTCCTGCTTGGAACTTAAGGGTCACTTAAGCCAGCATTAAGAAGAAAGTATCACCAAATCAAAAATTGGTCATGTAACAGATGCCTGCTGCCTCCTGGTAATCATAAATGATGTTGAAAAGGTGTTGTCCCCATTTACATTACATCCAACAGAGACCAGTGCTTTCCTCTGTATTTTTTTTTTTTATATATAAAACACCAGTCTGTGCTTCACGTGTAAAAGATTTTTAAAAATGGTTGCACATGGCTAAAGTCAGCATTCTTTACTTGTGGAGTGGGTGACGAGCTAATCCTCTGCTGTTAATGTCTGTATTTTAGAAGGACTGGGGAGTACCAGGATAAGAGCAAGGCTCTATAAAGTGGCTGACTAAAGACTGTTCTGAGCTGAGTGTTGAAATAATCCACTTTAATTGCAGTTAAGGGGTGTTTTCACAGCCAGGGTGCATTTGAGTTGGTGAGTTGTGAGCTTAACAGATTTTATTCCAAAGAAACTGTTACTTATTACATGAAGTCAAATATCCATTAAAAAGGCCAATCGGCTCAATTTATTGTAATCTTATGCACGTTACCAAAGCCCGCTGAGCATATTTGTCTTCTAACATACCCCAAAATGGGTCTCTAACCGATCAGATGTATTGTATTTGTAATGCGACTCATGATGACATAAGTGCTTTAATGGTGTTTAATAGTATCCTCATTGTCTCTTTTAGGAGCCCGCCTAAAAGTGTGTCCACAGGGTTTCTCCTGCTGCACGGTAGAGATGGAGGAGAAGCTGAGCCAGCAGAGCCACTCGGACATGAACGCTCCCGTCTCCAGGCTCAGCAGCAACCTGCAGTCCACCTTCAAACAGAAGCACGAACACTTTGACAGTAAGCAAAAACACTTACAGAAACGAATGCACACACGCACACCAGCGACTACTTAGACTACACTATACTGCTGGCTGCAGCGTCCCCCTAACAGCACTTATGTTTCATGATTCTTGACGGACGCTCCCATCTGCCAGTGCGCTGCCGGAGACAGTCAGTCTGCGTCGGTTGGTCCGTCCACCTGTCTCTCAACATCTTGGCACACTGCTTCAGCGTCCCCCACTACCCGCATCCCTTCTCCCCAGGTGCACGCTTCCAAACAGCCCACACACATCCTAAGATTGTCTTCTCCGCACTTCCTGTTCCTCTGTGTGTGTGTGAGCACGTGTGTATGCCTCTAAATATTGGGATCAGGTTTCTCTTGCTGAGAGTGGGAGGGCATGGGAACATGCAACAGTGCTGAGTCGCCGAGGAAGAGGGGCAGCTTTGAAAACCCCCAGTCACCCAACAGCTCTGTGAAGAAGCATGGACAGACGGAGGACAGGACGAGGACTGTTCTGCAACAGATTTGAAAGTTTCTAAATGCACTGGAATTTTGCTTATTCGGTCGGTTATGTGTGTGGTTTGATGCTCTTGTGTGTACACATGCATGCCTGTGCGCATGTGGGTCAGAAACCCTCAGATCTTATGTGTCTGTGAAAGGCAGCGAGGGATCGTCAGTAACAGGGAGCGTGTGTATTGCAGCCAGATGTGAACAGGAATGTGACGTGTCGGAATGCAGTGTCTGCTCAAGCTGTCCCGCCCCTCTTTTTCTCCTCTCTCACTGCCCTTTGTCCCCAATCATTCCTCTCTCTCCCACTAACCCTCTCTTTTCCCAGCACACCCTTCTTACTTTCTCACACGACTCAACTGGTGCTTTCTGAGCTATGGTCTTAGGGCTGCAACTAACAATTATTCTCAGTTAGAAATGATTTTTTATTGTTGGTTAATCTACTATTTCTTGATTAATGGTTTAGATTATAAAATAGGGATAAATGTCGATCACAGGTTTGCCACAGCCCAACGATGTTAACAAATTAATTAATTGAATAATCATTGCAGCTCTAGATTGTTTAAGATTGTCAGGCTGCCTTAAAGTTAAATTATATATGATAGAGTCCCGTGAGGATTTTATACGGTCTCAGTTTAGCTAGGAAATTTGGAAATTTTGTCCTTATGTTTGCAGATAATCTCCACTCCAGCTAACACATTTACCTTAGTTAGCTCTGTCCCTGTTTTTTCTTAGAACATACTGTAGCATGACTTGTTGCAGTAAGAAGAGAAACGATGTTTTCCTGGTATGAAAAAAAGTGACATTCTTGTAGCTGCACTGCATTTGCTCTGCTGGACATATAGGCGGTGAAGTATTTATTACTTACAGATTTTGTGATGGATGCTTTCCTGTACAGTTCTTGAACATCCAAGAAAAGCGGTGAGACTAAAAGGAGTTGGTCTCTGATTTTGAGGAACAGATACCAGAACCATGATTGTCAAGACAGTTTCCACTGACGTTTTCCATAACTAAGAAAATTTACAGTCAAACTTCATTGTGGCTTCAGCTATGAGTTTTTCGGAGCTGAGGTCAGAGTCCACGTTTACTCTGTAATATCACACCACCCTACAGTGTTACTGTTTAGGGTGGGTTTTTTTCCAAGATCTAATTGGACAAGAGAGGGCAGCTCTTGAACTTAACCTGAAACTCTTCCTGAGCTTCATTTGCCTTTTGTGCCCCCTCTTCATCACTGTAGACTGGTTGCTGCTGTCCCTGAACGACTAGATGTGGGATCTCTTTACAAAGGCCTGCTGTGCTCTCTTCCACCTGGTCCATTAGACCGTCTCTCTCACTGGATACGGTGACAGACTCAGGTTGCTGCCCTGTTATGCCCTGTTGTCACATGGAGATACCCAGATGGAGGCACTTTCTGTCAGTGAAGCTGCCACAGAAAGCGGCTATCACTGTTTTTAGTCTTACAGAAGAACACAGTCATAGTGATGACATCAGCGAACTGCTCCCGAGGAATGGGGCACATATGTCCATAAACACAACAGTACATGAAGACAGATGCAATAACATGCAGTCTCACACTAACAAACTCAGGAAGTGGTGTATGTGATTAGGCAGGCTCTCATCATGCGCCTGGAGCTCGGAGTCATGGCCAATTAAGACCAGAGCCAGAAATAGTTCTCCCCTCTCTGTCTCTCCTCATGCTGTGTTTGTCCTGGCCTCAGCCTCTCTGTCCTGTTGCACTGACCCTGTCAGCCTGTGTCTGGGATTTAAGTGCTTGGATTAAGGCCCCTTGTCTCCACACACACACACGCACACAACAAGCGACATCCATCCAAAGCACTGAAGTCCAACAGCAGGAGGGACAAAATCCCATCCCATAAGAAAAGGGAGAAGTGCAAGGACTAATTGGCACAAATAGGATGCAATTACTGCCTGGGCTAGAACTGGGGGAGCAGAGTTTAAAGAGACAGGGGTTTGGTGGTGCAGGGGCGAGGGGGAAGCTCCTTGGAGGGGAAAATGGGAGGCAGGAGTGGGAGGAGATCAGTCAGCTTCTCTGTTCCTATGATGGATTGGGTCTGAGACTATCACTCATAATTTAGGGCCTTTGCTGCAACATGTGGAAATAGTGACAGGGTGAGAAGAGGGAGCAGGGAAAAGACAGATCCTCACAGAGGCAGCAGCCATTCTTCTTCCTTACATTTCACTGCAGTTTACTCTCTGTGTCGTGTAACCTTTCACCCAGATGCTGCCAGACCATTGGCTGAGTGACTGGCATTTTTTTAAAATCCGGGTAAAGTAGAAATAAATGTGTTCTGAGTCTGTCACACCACAGGAAAATGCGTTATTAACCACCCAGCCAAATTCGAATGAATAAGAATGTATAGTATATAAAATTAACTTTCAAACTCATGAAAAAATATGGAGTATTCTCTGCTCTGAAATGCTCGGGGGGGGCATTTGGGTGAAGACACTGAAACCACTGGAATTACAGTATAGTTTTGGGCTTTATGGAGCCGCTCCTCCTTTGTGTTGATGTTTGAATGAGAGTAAGCTAAACACACACACAGATCAGACAGCTGCTGTCGCACCAGTGGAATTAGGAAGCCTAGGAGAAGTAAAGTGAAACTAAAGTTTACAACACCTATGCTCATTACTGTACGTGCAATAAAACCTGTGTGAGTAAAAAGATAGTAGGAGTAATTTAATGAAACACCTGCTAAACAAGCATAAACTTGCAGAGAAGTAGAAATTTAAGCTTTGCCAACAATCTGTGAGCTTGTTCAGCAGACAGTGGGGCTCTGTCCCATGCAACAGCTGCACGGTCCGCTGTGTCAGTTCAGACCATTGTCATTGTTTAATACTGAGGCAGCATCATTAATGATATCTTTTGCTCAGTCTCACAAGTTCCATTAAAAACAAATGTAAGCATAGAGCTGGAGGCGTTGTATTAAGGATGGCTCCAGTGTGCCATTAAGCCATGTGTTCTGCCCCACCCAAAAAAATCCTGAACTTTAAAATGTTGAATAACTGTTTTAATGGTCTGGCTCCACAATTCAGTGCTACATAGTTCTCGGTCTTTCACATTTTCAGCATCTATTTTCTGGCATGTATAATGTAGTTAGAAACAAATCACTGGTTTTGCTTTACCCAGACTTTCATGGAAAAATCCTGAGTTAGTGTTTGGCTCCTCAGCCTGCTTGCAGCCAGCAGCACATCATAGACAGTTTTAATGACAATAAAGATGCCTGTATAATGCTGATCTGTTTAGCATGTATGCATTACTGCTTTAATAAACAACAAAGGAAAAAGAGAAGTTCAGGGTTGTCCTCCTGCTTCTTGCCTCTTCCTCCTACGTCTCCTTTCACTGACTTTAAACTTGTAGCTACTATGACATTCCAGGGGTAGGGGTGGACCTTTTGTTTTAATGTCTGTCAACTGAGTATGGAGCTCGGTGCCCTCCCCTGTGTGTGTGTGTGTGTGTTAGAGAGGGCTAGGGGAGCAGTGATGGTGGGGAGGTAAATGGAGGGGCTGCAGTGTTTCCGGTATCCTTGGCGACACAGTGGGGATTTGGAGTTAAAAAAGCTCTCAACTAAACCCGCCGCGAGCCGCCCTCACCCCTCCCCTCCCTCATTTTTTCTTTTTAATGTGTCAGTCTGAAGTGGAAGTGACAGTGCTACTTGGGGACTGTGTGTGTACTGATGGCAGGGAGTGTTTAGTGACTCCCCCCGTGAGAGCATGGGAACTTTACATTTCAAAGCCAAGCAGAGGGCACCCAGAGAAAGTGCAGCGGGACAGAAGTTCTGAGCACATGGGGCAGCGAAGGGGTGATGTAGAATAGCTAAAAAAAGAAAAGGGGGTGAGTGTGTTCTTGCATGCCTGCAAGAGTGAAGGTGAAGCATTTTTCAGAGACAGGAATTCTCATTTTGTTCAGATTAAGAAAGTTGGGGGTGAGCAGGGGCTGTCCGTGGGAGAGGGGGCCTGGATTATTAGAGGTGGGAGAAAGCAGTGAGGGGGGTGATGGACATTCCTCAGGATGAAGTAGGTCATTGTTCCCTGTCTCTTGTGAAGAGAGCTCTCTGAAGGAACTGATGAAGTGAAAGCAGCAGAGGGAGGGAGATGCAGGGCTGGATGGGGGGTACAGGTCCATACACAGGAGGGGAGGAGGGTCACATTATTCAGTAATCCTATTGAAAATGCCTCTGAAGGACAGTCCAAGAGAAAGTGGGAGAAAGGAAGGCAAATGGAATGTGACAACAGAAAAATGCCATTGATGATGGTCAGTTTGAAGCGGCTTGATGTGGAGAGACGTCTTTGCTGAATGGCAAGTCTGCAGAGACGAAGAGCAGCCTGATGGTCCAGCTCCACCCCCCGCTACACTCCTCATCTTATCATTCCCTACTACCTCCCTTCCCATAAGACATTCCTTTGCCTTTCACAAGATTTTATGCTTAAGCTGATGCTGTTGAGATGGTCAAAAAGTATGGGCACAGGTGAAGTGGAATAACTAGCACTCTGAGTGGAAGCCGCTCACGAGTCAGAAAGCACCGATGTGGGTGGAGGTTATATGTAGGGCTGTACCTGACTAAGGAATTTGTTCAGTTGACTGTCAGTCAGCTCCTCAGTGTGACTATCCGTTCTTTTTATTTTAACAAATAGAGCCTAGACTGTCAGAAAATCAACTGGCATGAATTTCAGTGATGATTTCGACCACATTAACCTCAGTATTTAAATGCAAAAGAGTGACATGAACATACTTCTGAGCATTTAAAAGTCAATACAGACAGCTGCGTATGATGCAGTAGTTAAATTGCAACCTATTTAAATTGACGCTATCTAATGTCGGGCTGCCATATGGATTTGTCGGAATAACGGGACAGGCAGCGCACTTGTATTCCTGGTGAAACAATGCTCTTATAGGCAGTTTTTTCTTCTGACATATGGTTATAGCCTAATTCCTCTTATTTATAATTCCTCATTGATATGTCCCCCCCCACACACACACACACACATTTTTGTTAGTTTCTTAGTCCTGTTCAGATGGATGCACATCACAGAAACAGCCCCCCCTAATCATGCCTAATGTTTTGTAATGGGAGAGCCACAAAGTGTGACTCTGTTTGGCCCAAAGAAGTAAAATCAAGTTAATAAAAAAAAAAAACAAGCAACTGGGTTATAGATTAAATTAGCCCTGTCTTTCCCAGGCAATATGTTATCGTACAGATTCCTTCATAACACCTTTAGTCAAACACTGAAGCATTAACAAGCTTAGACAAATGACATTTAGTCATCACACTGATCCTCTCCTCTGCTTTTCTTCACAGAGTTTTTCCGTGAGCTTTTGAAAAATGCAGAGGTCTCTCTTAACAACATGTATGTGCGAACATACGGGATGATGTACGTGCAGAATGCAGAGCTGTTCAAGAACTTCTTCACAGCCCTGACTCGGTACTACCTGTCTGGCAGCAGTGCCGTCAACCTAGAATCCATGCTGTCAGAATTTTGGGCTGACCTCCTGGAGCGGATGTTCCGGCTGGTCAACGTCCAGTATGAATTCAGCGACTCCTACATGGAGTGTGTCAGCCGGCACACGGAGCAGCTGCAGCCCTTTGGCGATGTTCCTCGCAAGCTCCGCATCCATCTGACACGGTCCTTTATTGCTGCACGTACCTTTGTGCGTGGCCTAGCACTCATGCCAGAGGTGGTCAATAAAGTTTCTACGGTAAGTG